TCGACATCGCCCACTACACGGACACCCGCTCTTGCTCCGCCAGCTCCCATCCAACCCCGACAAGCAGGTCAGAGTAACCCGCGTCGCAACTCCACCGCCAGATATACCCCGGCATACCTGTCACACTCACACAACGCGTCTCCTCATACTCCAGCCCAGCCCAGCCCCTTGCAGAGCACGCCCGGCCAACGGGGTATCAGGACCCCCAACGTAGACCCCATCCTCTTCTCTCCCCACCAAAACGTCCGCGAGCAGGAGGCGCTGGAGACTCTCCTGTTCATGAGCAGCCCTGGCAACTCGGCCAACATGAAACACACCTTCCCGCCATCGCAGACATCGCAGGCGACATCGCAGGCGTCACGAACTGGGACGCGGACGGCCCTGCCGACATCCCGCCTCAATCCTGGGAACGAGGGCAGCAGCCAGCCGCGCAAGAGCCTGCCAACTTCGCGGCTGCAGCCGCAGCAGCCCAAGCGCGTCGAGTTTGAGAAGTCGCCCAGCACGTACAGTGAGATGGAGGTCGACGACCAATACGGGTCGCCGCAGACGCGGGGCACGCCGCGGCGAAGGACGCTCAACGGCTCTGCGCCGCGGCCTGCGCTCTCCCTCCCAGCTGGGCTGAGCCGGCCATCGCGGCCTCGACCCAGACTCGGCGACGACGACATCCAGCAGATGATCGATCGGATGGCTGCAGACGACAGCTCGGACTCGGAGGGCGAGATACAGCTTCCTCCCCGGAGGAGCGGCGCGGGCGTTGGGATTTGAAACTTGTGATACCATTTACCAGGTGCATCAGCCGGCTCTACGCGATTTGTTGCGACTCGGGCGAATAAGTCGCACTCCATCATATATCATATATATCTAGCCCAGCTCGCGCGCGAGAGGTCCGAGGACGGACATTTTATTCATGATCATGATGCATTAACACGGGTTATTTCTGGGACACGCATATGGGGCGACTCACTACCTGACCTCTACTGAGCGGGACGTCTCGAGATGAATATAGGTGATGAAGACGAAATGAGAGCACCGTGTGATTTCGGACCGCGACATCGGTGACGTTGACTTTAATGATTCTATCACTCTTCCCACTGACGTCTGCCGTCATGTAGTGTGTGTGGCAGCTCCCTCCCGTGACATTGCCGAGAGGCGGCTGCAGCGTACTGTTACGACGAAAAATAGTAAAGAAAGCAGCAGACGCGTCTGCAGGGCCCGAGGCTCGGGATGATGCCTGTTCCCCCGCGCGAACCGGGAGCTACCATAGGTCCCGGCTAGCAGGTAGAGTGAGGTCCTCCAAAGCACTGCTTGCTGCGGCTGTGCGGCTATCCATCCGGCTTCGGCGTGGGCGGGGTCGGGGTCGGCCGGCGCCGAGGCAGGCAGCGCCGGGCGGGGGCGGGCGTGCTGCTCAGCCACCCCGCCTCCTGCTGCCTCCCCTGCAGGCTGCGCATGCGCCCCACGCGCCACACTTTGCTGATTTCAGGCTGCAGCACAGCACTTGCAGCACTTGGGCAGCTGATGAGTGCGCATGCTGCTGCTGCGCCCCCTCGCCCGTGACCAACCATCCACGCCATCTTCTCTCGCGCACATGGAAGCTTTCTAGTTCGTGATGGCGTAGGTTGGTCCCTAGAATGCGACGACCGACCGGGTAGGGCGGCATGTCATGGCCATGCACGCGCTGCGGCCGCCACATGCAGCCCCGGACGTTCTGGCTGGCTTGCGTAAAGCGCACGAATAGGATTGTGCGTACGAAGTATGTATGAATGAAGGAATGGATGAATAATGGATGGATGACTCAATCAGGTTTTTCTTTTCTTTTGCCTCTTATTGCTTTCTATTTCTCGGCTCGAGGTCTTCCCTTGTGACTACCTCTTAGATACACCTTCGGACTTCCATCCACATCTCACTATCGTCGCCTCGGCCTATACAGAAATCCGGAACTCGAGTACACGACCGTTCGTCCATCTATCTATCCTTCTACTCGTCCTAGGACCGCTGTCTGTCCAACATCAGCAGCACTTCCTTCAGCCATGTCTGCTGCTGAATACTACAACGGAGGCGGCGGGGGCTCCGGCCAACACCCCCAGCAGTCGCCCTACCCCAACCAGCCGCAGTACGCGCGACCGTCATCATCCCACTCGCCCTACCCGCCGCAGCCATCACCGCCATACCCGACGGAACAGCCGAGTTACGCACAATCGCCTGCGCCGCAGCAGAACAACTACCTGGCGCCCTCGCCGTACCCCGCGCAACCGCAGTACGCGCGCCCCAGCTCGGCGCACTCGGACTCGGGCCCGCCGCCGTACTACGCAGCGTCGTCGTCTCCGCGGCCGGGCTCCTCGGCCTCGCATCATAACTACGACGAGAAGTACAACCACAACAATAACAGCGGCGGCGGCGGCCAGAACAACTACTATCAGCCGCCGCAACGGCCGCACTCGGCCGACCCGTCGTCGCGCGACAGCTACTACGGCCATCAGGGCCAGGGAGGAGGAGCGGGACAAGGAGGAGTGGACGGCGAGGAGGACGACCGCGGGCTGGGCGCGACGCTGCTGGGCGGCGGGGCCGGCGGGCTGCTGGGCCACAAGCTCGGCCGCGGGAAGCTGGGCACGCTGCTCGGCAGCGCCGTGGGCGCCATCGCGGCCAACGTGGCCGAGAACAAGCTGGAGAACCGGCCGAGCAGCAGTCACAGCCACAGCAGCCACAGCCACGGCCACGGTCATGGCCACAGCAGCAGTAGTCACGGACACGGAGGACACGGATATGGATACGGACATCAGCCGCAGCAGCAGCAGTACGGCGGAGGAGGGTACGGGTACGGTGGCAGTAGTCCGGGACCGTCGTACCAGGGCCAGGGGGGGAGCTACTACGGGGAAGGGGGAGGAGGAGGCCACCACCATGGAGGGCATCATGGGCATGGGCATGGACATGGACATCATCACGAACATGGACGGCACCACAGTCATCATGGGCGGCATGGCCATCATGGTGGGGGGTGGTGAGTGCTGTGCCGATGCGTTCCTAAACGAACCACGGATATTGATCGGCTGGTCGGGTTGGTTGGATGTTGAGTCTGGAGTTAGGGTTGGGGTCAGGATGCCTGGTCGGTGGGAAACTGGATGGATATGCGACGACTGGGTATCTAGATATGAGATACCTGGGTAGGTCCTTCTGCATGGCATGGGCGTACCGGGAGGTTCTATCTAGGTTGATAGATACCTAGGTAGATATTTACGGCCACGTGCGCTCGCTCTGGATTGAGGAATACTCACGATGAGGCCCTTAGGGCTCTGCGAACCTGTGCGGGGAGACTATGATATCCTGCGATTACTTTATGTACCTTGTGTCATGTATGACAATCGAAGGTTTCTCGTCTCACCTGCCCCCTTTCTGCTTCCCTTCCGCCCCCCCCCCCCCCCCCCCAAAAAAAAATCAGTGCGCGCATTGCTAGCCAGCTCAAGTTCACGGAGGCGCAAAGGACTCACGCGAAAGCAGTATCCACTGGAGTAGCTCAGGTACTTAGGTAGGTAAATCCGCGGGAAGTGACGCCTCGGATCTCTAGAGTGATGTAACAGGGTCCTTAACGACACCTCGACCCCGGGTCCCTGGCCAGTTTAACGGGAGTGGTCAAGCAGGCTCACCTGCATGCATAAGGTAGATACATGCAGGTGGGTGAACTACCTATCTACCCCTGCCGTTAGATATTAGTTGGACCCGAGGATACGGTTCGGGGAGCCTGCGCTAAACTCAACCACGACGACCAAGGGCAGTCTGCTAGGTATGTTGTCAATGGGGAATGCCCCCCGTCTCCTCCTCTAGAGCGGCCGGCCTGAGTTTTACCAGTCTTACCGACTATCTACCGCTTTTTGGTGTGTTCGGTATGAGAGAGACTGCTCTGTCAACCTCGATGCCAGCTAGCTACTCAGGTAGGGATGAGCGCATGTACTACCTACTTACCATGGCCGCTACGATAGTAGGTACTCGAGGAGTCGGACTGTCTAAGGCCAGGATGAAGCCTACCTAGTCGACCCGGATCAGAGGGGAGCAGAGAAGTGCCTGGCGCAGCGTGGTGAAGAGGCGTATGTTACTAATCTCTATATCTAGATGGTCGTTTACCTACCTACATACCTACGGGGCACCTCAAATAATTTCCAGATATGGTAGGCGAGGAGATAGGCGTCGACTGGTTCGTGCCGAAGGATCCTACGGTTTCTCAGGTGCGTCATGCCACGTCTTTTCTCTTCCTATATCGAAAGGGAAAGTCAGACAGCAAGGAGACCTATAATTCACTGCCACAGTGGGATCTGATAAATCAGACCTGCTACCGGTACCGGTAATGAACTCACTCCCGTTTCTGAGATGCCCCTTTTCCCAGTCCTGCTCTCTACCTACCGGTAGATACGGGTCCTCCCGCCAAAACACCTCTTCCTGCTTATCCGCTTTCAACTTCCTCGTAGTAACACCACGATACCAGCAGTGCGCCATCCCGGTACCGGGCAGTAGGAGGGGGTGCCGCCCAGCTACCCCGAAATCATTCAGCGAGACCGCTCTCAACTGTGAAAGGCAGCCTGCAGGAACCCTTGCCAATCAGCTAGTCAAGCACTTTAATGGGAGGAAAGCAGAACATTCATGGTGTACGGTGTACAGTGTTTGTCGAGGATATTCTGCGGATGCTATCCTGGAGTGTAACGATTAACAGCCGAGCGATTCTTCAGACTAGAAGTAGTAGTGATCCGGGACAAAGGGTCATAGAAAGCTACCTACCTACTTAGTACCTAGCTATGATAGCTTGGATGTCTGACAACATTTCACTGTCGCAGGTGCGGCCAGGCACAGGTAGGCTCGGTAGGCTTCATTGAGAAGTGTCGTTGCAATTCGTGATCCACTTCCCAACCAATGAGCGCTCGAAGACATATAGCGTGCGCATGCTGGCTTCTTATTGGCATTTAAAACCCCCGAGCATCAACAATGGCTTAGCGGCTTCTTCCGCCTAGCCTATCAATTCTTCCGTGGCGCAATTGGCTAGCGCGTCTGACTGTTATGTCTACATGCAATCAGGAGGTTGACAGTTCAAGCCTGTCCGGGAGAGTTTCTTTTGGCCTCCTTTTTCTCTAGTCCATCTGTCAGGTATCAAAGGTGCTTGTTTAATTTTAAGCAATGCTGGGAGTGACTGTGTTCTAAGTCCTTGGCTACCATGCAGAGGTTTCTTGTTTCTGGGTATAGTAGCCTCGCTCGCCAATGAACTCCTCGACGATATAGCTACCCGAAGCCGCCTTCTACTTTAGGTACCTACTAGTAATAGCTGCGGATTATCCTTCTGCTTCGGCGCCTGTGGGGTTTTCTACAAGTTGGCTTGCAAGTTGCAAGGCTATAATCCATGGGCGAGCATGGAACTTTCGGGCGCCGATTGCGGGTTATCAGCTTACGGTATATGCCTACGTCAGGTTGTGCCACGGTTCACGTACAGAACGATGAGTAAGATCTCTCGAACGAGACACCACTATATTCCCAAAGCACTTAGAAAACACCGAGTACTGCCCCGTGAGCCAATGACCTATACCCTCCCACGTCAGAGGACAATCAGATATTGTGGTTTAGTGGCGTCAAGCTATAAGCTCCAGACTCAAGTGGTAAGGTATGTTATTAAGTAAAGCTTGCTGTGTCACCCGCGGATTCACCTTTTCCTACCTCTGGCGGTCTTCTACCATGTCTTGCACAGTCTGTGGTCGACATTCTTGGGGCTGCTGGACTGGTCGGGTCTGAGGATGACCACGTATTTCTGGGGCATTCTGCTCTCGGAAGCTTCTGGGACGCCAACTGTTGACAAGGGGTCAGTGTGTTTTCAGGTCCGCGCGCAAGGAACATCTGAGGAAAAATCAAGAGAAGGGAACTCGAACTCACATGCAATCTGATAGGCGTATTTGAACAGCGGGGGTGCCCAGACCAGAGCGGCAATGAGTTGGCCGACCTGCCATTCGCCTGATGGGGCATCGTATATGACATCGAGGAATATCGCGATGATATACACCAGAACGATCTCAGATAATGCGTATAGAATAGCCAATATCAGCGTCACAATGCGCGTCGTCCGTTCGGTTACCCGTTTCCGAGACTCCGACCAGCTGGCGCGCACTTTGTGATACCACCGCGAGCCCCCCACGATGATAAGCTTCTCGAGTAAGAGCATGCCGAATAGGGCTACCAGGAAGATAGTTGGAGAGGTAAAGGATACAGAGCTAGGTGTTTCGTAACAGGAGACCCGGAGCGAAGGCTGGTTGCCACATTGGGGGACTGGAGAGCTGAAGCTTTTCCTCTGTTGTTTATCGAAAGACTTCGGAGCCCGGAAGGCGACTATTGCACCCAGAACTATCGCTACCGCACTTATGAAGGTTGTGCAGAGCGAGGCGCAGAGCGAATGGCGGGGAATCCGACGCAAGTTGAGCTCGGTGAAAACGATGGGGACGAGGATCAACTGTGCCACAATGTTCGCGACGGATGTGTCGCTAATATAATCCATGATGGTCTGGGCATCCAAGTAAGACGAGCCGCGCTGGGTGGCATGAAGTAGTGCGATCTGGATGGCGATGACGAAGAAGCCCTGCGCCTCCTGGAACTCGACTAGCAGATTTGTCGTGGCCTCTGCTACCCGCGACTTCTCCATATGCTCGATAAATGACTTAACACCCGCGGGTGGATCTTTCTTCCAGCACGGCAACCAAAACTTCAGCCAGACGATTGCCGAGGATATTGTGAACAAGCGGGACACGATCAGACCGTACACAGCAATCGCGACCTGCATATAGTATGAGAAGCGGACCTGCAGAGAGACTCAGTACTACTCGTCAACACGCCATGATCTGACCTGGGTTGGTTGACTCACGCCTGGTCCGGCAATGTCTGAGGAGACTGTAACGTTTGGTGAATATAGACCCAACCCCGGACATATTCTGTCCACCTTATCATAGAGGATGTTGAACAGCTCCCTGCCAGAGCCGGGAGCTCGTGTGCCGAAGACTTTATTCGCATCACAGTTCCCGAGACTGTTGTCCACGCAAGATGCCTTGGCACACATGTACGTCGCATTGAGGACGCCTGTGCCATCAAAGACGGTGATGCTGGGGACGGCCACCTGGGCGGCCATGATGTTGGTCGCATCGAGATGAGGGGCGCTGACATTGGGAAACAACGAGGTCCCGACAGCCAAGGTAGCGAGCGTCAGGCATGAGGACAGCGACTGCCAGGACTTGAAGAGCAGATCCGGGCTGGCGCACACCTGGGTGCAGTTTGGTACGCTCGAGCTGTTCAGCGCGCAGCCGTCGCTGAAGATGGGAAGGCTTGGAGTGATCCAATCCCCCTCCCAGAATTCATTAACACCGGTCCACGGGAGGGCTGGGGTAACAGCGGAGCCATTTTGAAGCCCTACAAACGTTTGTCCGGCCAATTCCAGGGACCATAGAACGGCCCAGTACGGGCTTCGGAGGTAATTTATGTCGTCCCCATGATGGACGACGGTGTGGTCATGAGAGCTGCCAACGTAGTAGATCAGGCTTTGCGAGTCCGGCATGGTGGCAACGTTGTCAATCTGGTCTACGTCGCTAGAGAAAAGGTAAAAGAGCTGATGGGAAGCTGGACAAGCTGCTTAATTATATACGAAGTATCCGTAGCCTTTCCTATCATGTTTCGGCCCCCAACTCCTTGGCCCCCAAATGTCCAGGGGGGGAGATATCCTACCACAGAGCCATGCATGGTAACCATTCCTGCCTTCCTTCGCAGGAGTAGGACTTAGGAAAACAGTGCTATGCGGATGGAAATGACTTTCGGCAGATATGTAGGGTGCCGGCACACGTGGGTAGACGCTCCTCTTCTCGTGTTGATAGGTAGCGAATTCGGGTGAGGCCATCGTGGTTGGTCGGAGCGAATCACGGATCGGATACTGCCCTCCGCTCCGGGCTCCCTTGCACACCCACTCTCCAATGAAACCCCATCATCTTTTCATCATGGTTGTTCAGCCTGCTTCCCTCCACCGAAAAAAAGGCCGAAAGAGATATGGACAAAAGTCACCACCATAGCCAACCGCAGCCCAGATGGCATTATATCAGGGGCAAGGCAGACTTGCCAGGTGGCCCTGCAATATGGGCGAACCAGCCGTGGCAAACATTTTCTGTAAACGCGAGGCTCTCGGGACCGAAAAGAATTACCCAAGGACTTGTCAATCAGCTTTACAATAACCCTGTGGGTGACTAGGTAGGTAGAACTGGTATGGCGGTTCGGAACGGCGTTTATGGGACCAACCACACACATGAACACAATCAATATGCCTTTCAAGTACCTTTTATGATTACAGCTATGAAACCTCCAGACATGACTACCTCTTCCAGCTGTATGGTCAGGGCAAAAGGAACTCGAGTCTGGCTAGCTATGTCTACTAGACGGCCTGCTGGTGATCTTGTGCTCTCGTTGAAGCCAAGCTAGCAGTCGGCTATCTCTCGCCTGCTAAGGACATTTCGCCGTGAGCATGACAAGTTGATAGGAAAACAGGGTGGCTTTGTACCATCTTCTTTTGCTAGGTGGTTAAAGTACCGTAGGTAGTAGTCTGGTCAACAGTCATCGATCCACGACCAAGCATGTCACCCTGGGGTGAGCCTACATACGACACATTCTATTTATGGCCTATGGAAATAGGTCGGTAAAAGCTTCCCCCTTCATAGTCACCTGTCGGCTAAGCAGTGCCCGGAAGATGGTTAACGGGATGAATGGCTCGGGGCCAAAATTCCCAACCGTCCCTCCCGCTCAGCTACGTACCGTAGGTAGACTTAATTATAGAGCGGTTTCTGTTCATCCAATAGGAATGATAAGTCGGAAGCGCTGCACTCAAGCGGACCTGATGCTTGTGAGAAACAAGAATGACCAAAGTGTCTAACCACAAGGCCCAAGGTCAGAAGCATGAAGTTTTTATAGTCAAGCCTTGATGGTGTACCGGAGTTGCTGGAACTCACACCCCCGACAGCGGACGAGCCAGTTTCGAAATACCCCCAGATCGCGGACGTAGAGTCACACTGACGACCAAGTCATCTTACAAGGAATAAAACATGTGAGTCGTAAAGCATATAGTAGTAGGTAGTTCTCCGTAGGTACGGAAGCATATGTGATATAAATGCCTACCCGAATAATCCAGAAATTTTATTGGGTCAATTACAGATTCTCCACCAAGATAAAATAAGATCAGCAGAATGCATTCTGTGTCTCTATCCCAGATATCTGCCTCGCTACCAGCTTAGCCCGGATAAAGGGGTATGGAATACAACTATCCAGATGCACGAGGTTCCGAAGGGATCCGATTCTTTTCCATTCCAGGCCAGCCACCAGCCACCTTGACTCCGCATACTTCATTCATCATCCATTTCCACCCTCAATCCCCCCCATCCCCCCCATCCCCCCGTCCAGCACCGCTTTTTTCGCGCGCGCCCACGCCGCCAACACCGCCGCCATGGGTTGGATGACAGTACACCAGAAGCTCCAGCTGCGCAAATACTACGCCGAGACGTACCCGCAGCCCACGCAGGCGGCCTGCGTGAAGTGGTTCCAGGACCAGTTCGACACCAAGATCAGCCAGTCGCAGGTCTCGCGCGTCCTGAGCGACCGGAAGCTGGCCCGGGTCGGCCCCAACGACCCGGCCATCCAATTCAAGCGCCTCGGCCCGGAGTACAAGGTGCCGCGCCCCGGCTCGCCGCCCGTCTTACCCAAGCTGCCCAGGTCCGCCAGGGCGCCCCCGCGGCCGAAGGCGGACGGCCCCGCGCCGCGCGTCGTGACGACGACCTCTTTTCCCGCTCCCGCTTCCGCTCCCGCTTTCAGGCCGACGCGCGTCTCGACTTCTCTTCACACGCCGTGCCCGGCCGACCCGCGCCCAGCCGACCCCCGGCGCCCGAGTGGCACGGCAGACGACGACGACGACGACAGCGACGAGAGTTCCGCCTCCGGCTCGGAGGCGTCGTCATTTGCCACTCCGTCCGCCGGTCCTTCCCAGAGACAGAGTACGGCCGTACTGCGACCCCAGGGCACTGGCACCGGCACTGGCACTGCCGCCGCCGC